GTAGGTCACACGTAAGAAAATCAATACTGGCTATACAGGTCAAACCACGCTAACGTGCCAGGGTTCATTTATGTATCAGGCCAGGGGAGCTCATACACACTCATCCTTCAGCTTCTCGAGTCGCACAGCGAGTGACCACGATGCACAAAATCAAGTAAGACAGAACTGTAACAACTCAAATGTTCCCCCCCAACGTCTTGCTGAAAAGCCGGACATCAGAAAATGCCCAGCTAATTAATAGAGGCTCATTAATCAAATACATTAGCACGCAGTTAATTCTAACGACTGTGTCTTTGCGAAGCATTCCCCAGAACCAGATCTTGTATGGAAATTTCGTTTGGAGGGCACATGAATGCTGTTTCCCAGTCGGATTCAGAGTATTTTCTTCTTCGTAGTTCACGCACGTGAGCTTGGCCAGGACAGACGGTGGAGTCAGCGGCTCAGACTGGTTACTGCCCAGGCCTGCAGGAAAGGAAAGGCTGGGAAGAGGCTCCCAGTCTTAAAAATACGCTCCAGCTATTCCTGTCGGAGTCATTTAAAACTTATGTCATTTTGTAAACTGCTCCAGCTGCCAACATTTACTTTGCTTTAGACTCCGTCCAGCAGAGCGGGGTCAATGAAGTGCTCTGCCTTTTTCTCCCGTTTTCAAGAAAGAAAAATGAATTGTTTCTGTATCTTTCCCAAGGAGACGGTTATGGCTGATTTCAGCTATTTATTACAGAAAAGTCATAGTTTAACGCCACTCAGTTTTGTTTCTAGGCAGCGTCTGGACTTCCGAACCGCGCTGCCCTTCCCAAAGCCGCGGAGCCGCCCCGCTGCGGAGCAGAGCGCCGGGAGGGCTGGCTCTCGCTTGGCCTCAGCTCTGCTTTCTCAGAAGAACACGGCCAGTAACGCACGCGTTTAGAGAGGCTGCACTGATTTCTGAAACACCTCTGCCTAACCCCACCTCTACTTGTCAGCCAACACCCGTAACTATCGGCCGTCTGATGTCCAGTCACAGGCTGACAAGGGCTGCGGGTCTGAAGCTTCACCAGCTTCCACCAGCTTCATCAAGCTCGCCCTACCAGCCAGCAGCTGGCACCAGGACCTCTACGTCCACGTTCAGCGCACGCACACGACTACAGCCTCATACCTGCATGTTTTCTCTCATGTCGGTGGCCTCTCGTAGCGGGTGCACTGCCAGCTTAAAGATGTCGTCGATAGTCTTGAGACCGGTGTTCCTCAGCATGGTGTACTCCCTCGCCTTCTTGCCTATCCTCACCGAGAGGCTGCGTTTCTGGGCCTTCCCGCCCCCACTTCGGTTGGTTATTGCAATGTGAACGAAGAGGGTAACGTGCTCCATGATATCGCCAACGAAAGACCGCAGCGGGATGTGCCGGTATCCGGGCTGCAAGCACTCCAGCGGGATGGTGTACTGCCCTATGAACTCATCCCCAATGTAGTCATCATCCAGAACAACAAAACGGATCATGGCAAGCTCCGGCAGATTGATCTGGAACTCAAAGCTTTCGTCAAAAATGGGGTTATCACTGTTTTGCTGAACAGTTTTAGTTCTTTGTTCGGTGCAGTCCGCGGGGATCCCGTGTATTTCTATGCAGACGTAGGGGTCTATGACGTCCCCTTTTGCACATGCACCCTTGGGCTTTGGAAAGTTCTGACCACTGATTATTTTGACGTGTAGGACTTGGGGAGACACCCCCGGAACAATGCCCTTGGTATTGGCGCTGAAGTAAGACACTTCCTCACGCATCACTGAAGGCCTGAGGACATACCCGCATCCCCCGTTCTGTAGAAACCAGCCAGTGTGCAGGTCCATCATGGGCCCCGGGGTCTGATAGTTCATCGCCACGATCTGGCAACCACAGTTCCAAAAATCTTGAGGATTTAAGTTACTGGAGTCTATCCTCATAGCACTCGGGTACACCCTGGACAGAAACTTTTTGTTGTAGTTGACAAAATCTTCAGGGTATTCATTTGCGATCCGACTGGCCTCTGCCTCACTGAAGGAGCACATCTCCCAGTAGTTTTGAGCTTTCATGGATGTCTCAAAGTCTTTGTATTGGACAGATTTGCATAGGGACACCAAGTCGGACAACTCCCTGCAGAGCCAGGTCAGCTTCGGTTCCCTCGAGAAGTCCTCTGACAGTCTCCGGGATATTTCAGCCTCTTCATCTTCATCTGTGACTTCTCCTTCTAATATATCCTGGTCGCAGGGCAGCTTCTTCCCCTTCACAATGATCTTCATTTTCAGTTTCTCAGGTGACGGGAGGTAGACTTCTGAGGATAGAGGTGCCTCTGTATAGAGTTTTGCTCCAAAGACCCTCTTCATGTGTTGCACCACTACCTTCTGCTGTCGTACGGAGCAGTGGTTCCCCAAGCAGAGAATCAGGGGGTATTCTGAAGCAAAGAAGGCCAATTTGTTTATTACCTCAATGACACTGCGAAAGGCAAGTGGCGATGTCATGTTGTTGCGGTTACAAATAACGGGCTCGTTATCTGGGCCATCACAGACGTCTAGTTCGATACTCCGACAGCTCATCTTCAAAGCTCTGACATAACCATTGATATCAGCTGGCCCTCTGAGCTGGTCTTCTATTAGATACGTGTTGTGGGATGCATTGATGTAGTAATGTGACAAAGGCTGTGTCATGTCTTGGACAATTTTTTTGTGCTCTGGGTCAAAAATATCACATTCTGGGGATAACAAGTATTGAGTAAATCCATCAATTGCAAGAAAACCTTTCAACCGCCCTTCTTGAGAAAGCTCATACCTGCGTATAATATCGAGACACATTTCTTCCGTTATGTGGGTCACCCCTTGCTCCGCCTCTAAAAACAGCATGAGGTCGTTGGCATCTAGATACTCTTTGTTTTTAGATATCTGCACAAGCAAGAAATAAACTTCAGGTCTCGTGCAAAGTTCGCTGAACGCTTCACAAAATTCCTCTTTTGTTACTCTTGTTGTCAGTTTCTCTTTGCTCTTCTGGATTTCCTTAAATTTTAATCTGATCTTCGATTCCTTTAAGGTGGGGTTAAGTTTCTTTATTAGCTCCACAGACGTATCTTCTAACATTATGCCATTACCATCAACGTCTGCTGCTTCGAATACAGTTTTTAGCCAGGCAAACCGCGGGGTATTGTAGCTGCCTTCCATCAAATCCAGGGGCTGTTTGCTACGAGAAACCAAGTACCTTAATCCTGATACCCAAATATTGGCCACATCAGCCGAATTGGCAACCAAGTCAAGGGACTCGTAGTTCTCACCATGAATTACCGACAGCGCACAGTCCTCAGAAATCTGGTCAGCAAGCCCATTATTCCTGAATGTTTCTGTGTTCTTCCCTAGTCTGATTTCTTTTATAGCAGAAATATCAAGCTTGGCTTTCTCAAGGTCCTTCTTGGAAGGCTCCCAGCGAAGAGCCTGCAGGTCAGGATCCAGAGTAAAAAAACGGTTATAAATCCGGGAATTTGGACGAACTTTCTTCAATTCACACCCAGCCTGCATAAAGCTGATACAGTCGCTGGCGCTGCTTATTTTCTTCTCTGATGGCATGCTGCTGAAGGACACTGTCTTCTTCCTTCCACATTTTTGGTTTGAAGGATCCTGTGGAATAATTACATTAAAAAAAAAAGAATGAGTAAGTTTTCTTTGGCCATTCCAAAAGTGGATAAATTACAGAGGAGATATTTCTATGTAAAGGTAATTCTGAACCTCAAAACACAACATATCACCCCTTCCTACAATTCAGTCCCTACTGAGCTATAAAATACACTGAGCTACACAGCGACCTGATTGATTGCGGCATTAGAGATACCAAGTTTTCATGAGTGACATTTGCAGCTACTAAACTGCCTTCCAGATCTCGGCAACTCGCTACGGCTGTGAGGAGGTGGTATCCAGCCGTGTCACATACATCTTCAAAACAGACATCCATGGGAAAAGGGGTTTCATGGGAAGCTCCAGCACCTGGTTAAGGTCTGCACAACCAGAACTGGGGTGGACCTCACCAGGATCTAAGCGGTGTCGTGAATAAAGGAGGAACTTTGGGATAAAAAGGCACGCGAAGAGAGTCTCAGCCTGTGTGGGAGGAGAAGGGGAAGGAGGCCCTGAAGCAGCGCTGGGAGGAGAGCCTGGGACAGGTCAGCGTGCCCGTGGGGCACGTGTGGCAGCTTGGTGCTCAGCAGATGAGTGCCCTGCCTCAATTTTGCCTCTTTTCTGCCACCTCAGACACCTCACGCAAAACTGAAACAAAACCCAAGAGCAGCGATGAGTCAGACCCCTGAGACACACACCCAGGAGAGCCTTGGCTGTTTTATTTCTGTGTGTTTTCGTGTCCTTTGCCCAAGGACGTTCTCACTAGGCTGAGATGCCCATCTCTGCTGCGTGCAGGACCACACAGCGCTCTGGGCTGCTCTCGTGGGAGACCCACGTGCCCCTCTGCTCAGCCCAGACCTACTTCACACTCCCGTCTCCCCGTCGGCTTTGAACAGCAGCTACGCTGGGCACCTCTCTGCACCAGAACCAGAAAACGCTGCGGGAAAACGGACAGCCAGGCAACCTACCCAAAGCCTTTTTCTTTAGGGCACATGTTCTAACTCCTGTTGAGAAAATACTTAGCCAGACACGTGTGAGACTCTTTTCAGTCTCAGCTACCTGCTTGCTGCTAGATTTAAACACAGCTGCCTGCAAAGCTTTCTGTAATTTCAGGGCAGCAACTAATTTTGAATCTTTTCCCACATATTATCAGTTCAAAACATTTCACAATAATTATAAATTGCAAATCATTCTTTTTTTCTCTGCATGATTTCCATCTACTCCATTAGTATATAAACTATTCAACCGTTACCAGAAATATTTTTAAAACGTCATTCAAGGCTGTAATTAGTAGTGGAACACTTGTTGAAAGTGCTTTCCCTCCTATTTCCCTGGCCACCAGCAATACTTTCTGTGTTCTCTGCCTTCTGCTGCTGACGGGCCTTTTGCTGCCTGGATCTCGAGTAGAAGAGGGGTCCCAAGGTGAGGAAATTTTGTCGCTGGGTGCCGGCACAGAGCCCCGCACCACGCTGCCCTCCCGCCCAGCCAGCAGAG